ACAAGATAAGGGCAGATCTGAACTCCTAGAGCTTTGGTCCACAATACTAAATGAAAATATCCACAACTTTTTTCCTAACCCTTACCCCCATTTGCTCATTCATATCTTCCATGGCCACCAAATGCTACATCTGCTGGAGGAATCTGGTACAAATTCCATATGAAATAGAAACCTTTGATTCAAGCAGTCTATTTTCAATATCACAATAGAGAATTGGATTGATTTTTGAATATAAAGAAAGCAGAGAAATACATATATAGAAGCAACAATTACACACAAGTTCTATACATGTGTTACCTATTCTCTAAGCAAAGCAAACAAATACAATACATTACTTATGAAATAGAATAAACAAAACCAGGTTAGATTGTAGTAAAGGCTAGCAAGCTCTAGGTATAAACTAGTACTTTGTCTTAGCATAAATCTAGTTCTGCTAGACCTAAAACTTCAACTCAGCAATAATAACCAGCAGATAGACAGCTTATAATTTTCATATGCAATTGAATCATTTTGTTTGAGTGAAACAATCCTGTGATTGTACACACAATTGTGTGCTATGAGATGAAAATAACAAGTAGGTAAAAAAGCTAATGTGCTAATATGCATGAAACAATCCTGTAACTGCACTTAACATATGTGCTACTGTGCCAATTGTTGCACACAGTCATGTTGGTGACTAGTCTTCTTTTGGCTAGCTGCCTTGGCACTTGGCGCAGTTTCTAATCTGTCAGATGAGCAACTGCACAATCTCTTCCAACACCAACTCTTCTCCAACACCAACTACTTCTCCAATTTACACTGCTTTTTCTCCTACAGCACTCTTGCCTACACAATGGACACTACTGTCTTCTCAAGTGCTTCCTTTGAAGGTGCCTATGTAGGCAAGAACATTTATCAGCCACTACTGGAATCTTATCAGAAGCTTTTCACCCACTATGGAAAGCCAGTTCGCATCATCAACCCTAATAAGAGAAACTGCAATGCTGGATACCTTGTTAAACAAGGCCTTCCTCCATTATTTGTTGCTCACTCTCTTCTTGATGCAGTATGGCTTCTACAACAGTCTTTGCCAGAAGACTCAGTTACAGATCAGATCTGGCAACAGCTCACTAAGGCTGTTAAGGAGCAAACACCAATACCATCTACTCAGGGTAGGAAGAGATCGCGATCTCCTACTCAACATCTAGATCAAACTGCAGTTAAGGCACTCTGTCTTACTGTAGCCAGACCACAACCTGTAGTCTTTCTTAGATCAGAAGACCTGCTACAAAGACAAGAACTACAAGAGAGAAGAGCACTTGAAAAAACGGTGCTTCAGGAAGCACCTAGGCAAGAGAAGGCAGCAGTAGTACAAGAGAAGGTGCCTCAAGAGGCAGCAGGGCAAGAAGAGGTGCTTCAAGAGGCAGCAGGGCAAGAAGAGGTGCCTCATGAGGCAGCAGGGCAAGAAGAGGTGCCTCAAGAGGCAGCAGGGCAAGAAGAAGTGCCTCAAGAGGCAGCAGGGCAAGAAGAGGAGAGTGCTGAAGAGTTGCAGACTGTAACGACGCAGGCCAGCAGGGAAGATATCCGGGATAAGTGTGAGTCCGCTACGAGGCATATGGGAGTGCTGGGACGTTGAGAACACTAGGATTGAATTCCCTACACCTATAGGTCTTGTACGAAAGGATACAGAAAAACTACTCTATCTAACAACTGTGTTGAACTGCTTAAGTATACCATTAGGAGGACAATCGGACCCGGAGCGGTAGACTAGCTTATCGTGCATGCAGGTGCCAACAGGGGCTCAGATAGTACAGCAGCGCGATGCCTGCCGACATGTATGCAGATAAGGAACGACTCGGAACCGTAACGGTGGTCATTCGGTTGCGGTCGTTACACAGACTACAGAAGAGATTGCTGATAGGCATCTGAGGAAAGGGAAAGGTAGAGCAGTTGAGCAAGTATCTGAGGTTATGGGAGATAATGACCTAGAGGGAGATGAGGAAGTTCAGGAAGAGGAAGAAGAAGAAGAAGAGAAAGAAGAGAAAGAAGAGGAAGAAGAGGAAGAAGAGGAAAAAGAAGAAGGAGAAGAGGAAGAAGAGGGAAGAGAGAGAGAAAAAGAGGAAAAAGAGGAGAAAAAAAAGAATAGCAAGGGTAGCAATAGGAAGCCTGTTACAACTACTGTGAGCAACCACAACCAGACAGTAGAGAAAAGACAGAAGCAAAGGGCAGAAGTGCAGAGGTCTAAGAAAAAGGAGGACCTTGGACTTGTTCAGCCAGCAACTACAGCAAACCCAAAAGAACATGCTGCCTACCAGTCTATCACACCTCAAGACTGCTCAGTATACTCTTGGATCTTCTTGCAGTCATACAAGGATGGATCTACCTTCTACCAAGAGGCAAAGACACCTTACACACTGGCTGTGACTATGATCAAGAAGGCACGTGTTCTAGGAAACAGAAGTGCAATCCAAGATACACATGCTTTTCTGCATCACTGGTATACTGCTGGTAGTCCGCTTCCCTTGGATACTTCAACATCTCAGCAATATACAAGCCTTCCAGCAGCATCTCCAACATGTGTAGATGCCTTTACTACAAGCCAGGTTGCAAGACTATCTTTACAAGACAGTCATTCAACCTTTTCTGCTATCTGGAGATTTGTCACTTCCTTTGAAGAGGACATTGGTGTGGGCTATATTCAGTATCGGTGGGGTATGGCTAAGCTTGTACAGCAGTATGAGGCAAGAGTAGCAGAGCTGACAAGAGTAGAGGTTGGCAGTGGTGCTAGGGCAAGGCGCAGAAATGGTGCAGGACCTATAAGATCACAGGTAAAGAAGGAACTGTGGAGGGAGACAAAGGAAGGGGGTCAAGAGGTCACCTTAGAAAGCTTCTCTAACCGCTTGCAGAGAGCAAGGTGTTACCTCACTGCAGCAGAGACTCTTGGTTGGAGTTTTCTTGCTGTTATACCCTACACTGAGGTGTCTAAGACTTGGTTAGAGCAAACACTCTCTGCGCCTGAACTTGTTATCTTCCTTGGGGTTGTACAGAGGGTTAACAATGCTGTAGTAGATGGTTGCAAACAGCTTGAGCAGTGGCTTGGTGAGAATGGAGTCAAAGGTGGTCAGATCCCGGATCCAGGTTTGCTAGGAACAAAGGTGGGAGTACCAGCTATTGAAGAGGGTATAAGTGGCAGCAGTTCCTATGCTGAAGAGGCAGATGAGTTACAGCCTGCTGCAAAGAAGAGGTCTTTTAGTAGACTTGCTACTGCTACAGCATCTCCTCAGTCAGAGCGCCAGTCAACATTACTTGACCTGTTCTTGTCCAAATAGTATCTTAATGAATTTGTACAATAGCAGTGTATTATTTATAGTAGCATATCTTAGCTGTCTACCTTTATTACTACTCATTGCATCTATTGAAACAAATAAAACACAATTGTGGTTGCTTAATGGTTCAATTGGGAGATGCTGTGGCATGACAGTCTTAGGGGCTAGTCTAGTCTAGGTGTAGTATCTTGGGACTTGGCACAGTTGCTCATCTGACAGATGAGGAACTGCACAATCCCCTCCAACACCAACTATTTCTCAACTACTTTTGCAACTTTTATATCCACTGTGTTCATGATGATATTGAAGTGGACAAAGATAGGGATAAGGATGAGGATGGATAAGGCACTTGTGTGCTATAGTACAAGCAAGTCTATATGTATCCTATTAAGAGGAAAATTTTACTATAAATGTCTTTTTTCTATCTTATCATTATTGCATTAGGGGTAGCTACATAATAGCTCTAAGAGCAACTTCAGAATGGCTATGTGCATGTTCAATCTTCAATTTGTAACTACCTTAGTGATGTCAATTTAAATACAACAATTCCTTGCATGCTTGTATACTTGCTCTTACTACACAATCTACTCAGATGGTGTATACAGACTGCCTGTCTGGTTTTCTTTGCTACTACCAGCATATCCCAGTTGGTTGCTTTTTGCCCTGCCTGTGCTACCCTGGGCCTGAGAAGTATTTTCTCTAGGTCTATTAGTAGCAAAAGAGGGAACCTCTCCTTCATGAATGGCACTATGTATCAGCTCACTGTGTTCCTCAAGCCATCCAACCATTAGTCCTTCTAGCTCATCAAGGCTTAACCCTCTAACTCTCTCCTGCATCTCTAGTAGAGGAGTCTTCCCTTGCTCCCAGACTGGCAGCCATCCTTGTAAGCCAGCACTCCTCCTGCCACTGCTCCAATACTCCTTGGACTCATCTATGCCAAGTATCATGATCCCTTGTTTACTACAAGCTTTGATAAGTTGAAAAGCATCCCAGGATGTGTTCATGCTACCATCTCTGCTAGTGCTGCGGTGTGCTTTGTACAACAAGACATGAAGTGTCCTAGGGTTGTCCTCTTCAGGCTGCTGTACAGCCAGTGTAGGATGGTTGAAGACTGCTGAAAACCACATAAGCTTTCGAGATAGCCCCTTTTCCTGGCTAGTCTTTGTTGATTCAATGAGCGCACGGTCTGATGGATAAGGTAAGATCCAGTGGGTTAGGCGAACCAGGTGTAGAAACTGATCTAGCCATAGCTGAGATCTTCGATAACCCAGCTCTCTTTCTAGAACATCCAGGGTTCTCTGCAGGATCTGGCGATATGGTTTCCAAGCCCAGCCTGATCTTTTCCTTTCGTCCACTAGGAAAAGAAAGTTGAGTAGATCTTCTACTCCTTTAAAAGCTCCCTTGTTCCCTGTAACAATGTGAGGTGGACTAACCACACCACTGTTAAGGAACAAAGTCTTCATTCCATCAAAGCAATATGCCATCT